CAGAGTGATCAATGAATGGCCTACGCCATCCAACGTGAAGGAACTGCGGTAGTTCCTTGGCCTTGCCACGTACTTGCGCAGGTACGTGGACAACTACACAGGCAAGATTCGCCCGCTGTCGCCGTTTCTGAAGAAGGAAGCTGCGTGGGAATGGACTGCTGAGTACCAGCAGGCGTTCGATGCAGTCAAGCTGGGCTTGACTGAAGCGCCGATCTTGGCTGTGGCTGACCAAGATCGTCCCTTTCACGTAGTGTGTGACGCATCCGATTTTGCGATCGGATGTGCGCAACTCGATCACGAGGGCCGTGATCGAGTCGTCTACTACCAGTCGCGTCAGCTGAAGCCAGCTGAGCGAAACTACCGTGTACATGACAAGGAACACCTTGCCATGAAGTATGCATTCGCGAAGTTCCGAGTGTACTTACTCGGCAATACGCCGTTCGTGGTCTATACGGACCACGTTTTTTTGCGGACGGCTGAAATCTCCGCACATCTCGCAACGAATGGCGGGATGGTTGTCCTTCTTCGCGGAGTACCACGGCCGGGTCGAGTACAAACCCGGGAGGTTGAATGTCGTCGCGGACGCATTGTCGCGACGACCGGATTATGCTGTCAAGACAGCCGACGTCAACCGGATTGACGTCGCTCGGACATATACACCATCGTCGTCCTTGTTGGACGAGGTGAAGGCCGTGTATGCGCATGACGCAGACGCGAAGCAGCTGATCGAGTTCCTCTCAGCTCCTTCCGACAAAACACGGGAAGTTGGCCCCTCGTCTACGAGCTAGTGCACACCGGTATCGTGTGCACGACGGCATACTGTTTTAGCGCTGTAGACGACAATGCGGAACGTATTGTCGTGCCGAAGGATCCTGACCTGCGCAGCAGGATCATGTACGAGTATCACGATGTCCCCACGACAGGACATCCGGGACGTGAGAAGACGTATTCTCTTCTCACGAGCGAATTCTACTGGAACCACCAGTACAAGTGGGTGCGCAAGTACGTACGTACTTGCGATGTTTGCCAGCGAGTGAAGCCTGCACCTCACTCGCAGGCTCCTCTGCAACCACTGCCGACTCCGTCGGAGTGTCGGGAGTCCGTTTCGATGGACTTCGTGTTTGGCCTTCCGCGCGATCCTAGGCGGAAGACTGGTATTGTGGTCTTTGTGGACCGCTTCAGCAAGATGGTGCATCTCGCTGCTGTCGCAGCGGAGGTGACCTCCGTACAGACGGCACGTCTGTTCGTAGACATGGTGTTCAAGCACCATGGCATGCCCAACGACTTTGTCTCGGACCGCGATCCGCGCTTCACAGCGCGTCTCTGGCAAGAAGTGTTCACACTTCTTGGAACGCAGTTCTCAATGTCGACTGCGGATCATCCGCAGACGGACGGGCAAACCGAGCGCGTGAACCGCGTGCTCGTGGACTTGCTGAAAAGCTACGCCCAGTCGTTCCACAACTGGAGCGACTACTTGTCGATGGCCGAGTTCGCCATCAACAACGCGGTGCATGCCTCGACTGGGCATACACCATTCTTCGTGACCGCCATGCGGCATCCACGCCTTCCGAGCACGCTCGAGGCGGTGGCTTCCTCCTTAAATGGGGTAGGATCTACGGTTGCGCTCGAACAACCGCAGAAGACAGCTGATACGGATCTATCAGCTGCGACGACGCGTGCGAGAGCAAGAGCCCGCACACGACAAAGCGACGTGTCAGGGCCGGGCACTGACACTGTGAAGAACCACGAGTAGGCGACACCTGCTTCGTCCAAGGACAACGTGCCTGCGCTCCGCACAGACACCACGAAGACTCACGCATAGGCTGGGCCTGTTGCGATCACACACGAAGTGTGAGTGCCGGGCACTGACACCACAAAGAGCCACGCACAGTCTGGGACTGATGCGAGCACAAGTGGCGAGTATGTGCAGGGCACAGACGTGGCCAAGACCAATGAGCTGAACCCGGGGTTCAGCTCTCAAGCAATGGACTTTGTCCTGGAACGACAAGCAGTCGTTTGATTTGTACAAGATGCAATTGCAGCTTCTGCGGATAGGCAGAAGCTGAACGCAGACAATGTGGACAGGGGAAACACAAATGAATTCAAAATTGGTCATTGGTTTTGCTATCTACCTGCCTACACATGCAGTTTCTGGATTCGAATCAAGCAAGCTTGCTCCGCGCTTCATTGGACCGTTCACGGTGGCAGAA